GCCGTGCGCCCCGAGGCGCGCGGCGGCTTTCTGCCCCGTCACTCCGCGAGTCGCCCCCGGGAGGAGCTGCGACGGGCGACGGGGACCCGCGCGTCGCCCCCCGTCGCCCGTCGTGGCCCGAGCGACCTCCGTAGGGCCCGCGCGCGGCCCGTCCAGCCTGCGCGCGGCCCGTACGGGCTGCGCCAGGCCCGCGCGCGGCCCGTACGGACTGCGCCAGGCCATGGCGCACCTCGAGCCGCCCGCCACTGCAGCAGCAGCCCCTGGAGCCGCCCGCAACTGCAGCAGCAGCCCCTGGAGCCGCCAGCACCTGCAGCAGCAGCCCCTGGAGCCGCCCGCAACTGCTGCAGCAGCCCCTGGAGCCGCCAGCAACTGCAGCAGCAGCCCCTGGAGCCGCCAGCAACTGCAGCAGCCGCCCCTGGAGCAGCCGCCCCTGGAGTCGCCCGCCACTGCAGCAGCCGCCCCTGGAGCCGCCCGCCACTGCAGCAGCCGCCCCTGGAGTCGCCCGCCACAGCAGCAGCCGCCCCTGGAGCAGCCGCCTCTGCAGCAGCCGCCCCTGGAGCCGCCTGCCACTGCAGCAGCCTCCCCTGGAGTCGCCCGCCTCTGCAGCAGCCGCCCCTGGAGCAGCCGCCCCTGCAGCAGCCGACCCTGCAGCTGCATGCGACGCCGCTCCTGGTCCCGGTGCAGCCGCCTCCTTTTCCTGTCACCCGCAGTCTTGTTCCTCTCGTGCTGTATGTGTCGCTTCTAGCCCGCTCCGTGTTCGTTCGTCTTGCTCGTGTATTTGTTTGTTTTGCCTGTGTTCGTTTGTTCTACCTACCTACCTACCTACCTGCGCCCTCGTGCCTTGTGCCTTGTGCCTTGTGCTTCGTGCCTCGTGCCTCGTGCCTCGTGCATCGTGCGCCCTGCTCCGCGCTGTTGCTCTGCACGCGCGGTTGCCCGCGCCTTCGTGCGCTCTACCCTACCTGCTCCGCGCTGTTGCTCTGCACGCGCGGTTGCCCGCGCCCTCGTGCGCTCTACCCTACCTGCTCCGCGCTGTTGCTCTGCACGCGCGGTTGCCCGCGCCCTCGTGCGCTCTACCTACCTACCTACCTACCTGCGCCCTCGTGCCTTGTGCCTTGTGCCTTGTGCTTCGTGCCTCGTGCTTCGTGCCTCGTGCCTCGTGCCTCGTGCATCGTGCGCCCTGCTCCGCGCTGTTGCTCTGCACGCGCGGTTGCCCGCGCCTTCGTGCGCTCTACCCTACCTGCTCCGCGCTGTTGCTCTGCACGCGCGGTTGCCTGCGCCCTCGTGCGCTCTCCCGCCCCGGCCCTCCCCCCCCCCCCCCCCCCCTGCGTCCCCTGGACAGGAGGGTGTGGGGGTGGCGGGTGTGGGGGTGCTCCGTGTGCGTCGCCCCTTCCTTCTCCTCCGTCTCCCACTGCTGCAGCTGCCGCTGCGGGGGTGGATGTGTGGGAGACGAGGGAGTGGCGCTAGGGGGGTGATGTGGGCGTGGAGCGAGTGGTGACCCTGGGGGTGTGTGTAGGGGGGAGTGAGACAGTTGGAGGAGGTTGCAGCCTGGTGCTCCTGGTGCCCGTGTGTCTGCAACTTCAGTAGTCGCCTCCTCTCTTCTCTCCCTCCACAGTTCCTCCTCCTCCTCACTGGCCTGACTGCCACTAGCTTTGCTGATAATTGTGAACTATTGCTGTGACTTCTCACGTGTGCTGATTACACCCCACTTTGGCTATGGGGGTGTGTCGGATTATGTTATTTGTCTAGCCTGCAGTGGGGTGCTCCATAGTGAGTACAACCCCTTAGGGTTTCCTATATGTATCCTGCTGCTTGCTAGTTCAATCATCATTCCCATTCTCACTTCTCCAATTCTCCTTCGTATACCACAAACCCTAGTCCTAGGGCACAACCTACTACCTCCTAGTGTGGGCCTAGGCTACTAAGCCTAGGCCCCACTCCTAGTATTCCTGACAGGGACGAGCCCAGTTGTCCTCACTGGGCACTCAGACGCTTCTTGGGTTGACGACCAGGCTACTCAGCGGTCGTCACAGGGTTACACCTTCAGCCTTGGCTCTGGTTCAGTTTCGTGGCGTTCTACACGCTCGTCTTCAGTTCTCAGTTCCAGTTGTGAGGCTGAGATCTACGCCACAGCCATGGCTGCACAGGAGTTACGCTGGCTCACCTACCTGCTGACTGACTTGGGAGAGCAGCCTCGTTCTCCTCCAGTGCTGTACGTCGACAACAAGGCCGCCATTGCCTTGTGTGAGGAGCACAGACTGGAGCACAGAACGAAGCACATTGCTCTGCGTTACTTCCTGGCTCGAGAGTTGCAGCAGCGAGGCCAGCTTTGTCTTCGTCACGTGGCCACTCGGGCCAACACTGCTGATATATTCACCAAGGCACTTCCGTCTGGTGATCATCAGCGCTTTTGTACCCTGTTAGGCCTTGTGCCTACGTTTCCACACTTGCTGTAGTCTCTGCTTGTACTGTGATCTATATATATACATGCATGCCTGCTCTTGCTAGGTAGTCATCACTGTACTGTTATTGTTGCATATATATCTCTGCATGTGGACTGGCCTTGTGGCCCTTTGCTTGTGCTCAGAATGTGTGGTGACGTTGAGATCCACCCTGAGCTTGCTTTGCTTCTCTTGACTGGTCGTTTGACCCCTTGTTCTCCCCCACTTTGCCTATGGGGGTGTGTCAAACATATATGCTGCATATTGTCTAGGCTGTAGTGGGGTAGCCCATATGGGGTACAGCCCAATTAGGGTTTACTACTTGTACTCCTGCATGCTGCTAGTTCATTCATTCCTGCTGCTAGATTCTGACAGCCTTGTGTCAGGAGCATAGACTAGAGCACAGAATGAGGCATATCGCTCTGCGTTACTTCCTTACACGAGAGTTGCAGCAGTGTGGTCAGCTTCGTCTTGCTTACGTGGCCACACGGGCCAACACTGCTGATATTTTCACCAAGGCACTTGTGTCTGGTAATCATCAGCATTCCTGCACTGCTCTAGGCCTTGTGCCTACTCTGCCTCACTTGCTTACAGCTTAACTTCGTCTTGTACTGTGATCTATATATCTATACCTGATTGTTTGCTCTTGCTAGGTTTCGATCACTGTACTGCTTGTGCCTTTGTTTTTATTTATATATCTTTGCATGTGAACTGGCCTTATGGCCTCTTGCTTGTGCTCGACTGTGTGGTGATTTTGTGATCTACCCTAAGCTATGCTTTGTTGCTTCTCTTGACTGGTCTTGTGACCATTGCTTGCCCTGTCTATCCTCCATTTCGCCTATGGGGGTGTGTCAAAACTTATATGTTTATATCTATGTAGGCAGCATGGGGGTTAGCACTAGGGGGTACACAAATCTTCTCAACCTTCTTGTACCCCTCCTTTAACCTAGCTCACTCATTCCTGCCTCATGATTCTAACACTGCCCCCTCGTCACACACCTCAATTCTCCGCCCGCTGGCATCACCATGAGCCGCCTGGTGAGCCGATTGGCCAGAATTTGGCCACACAGGAAGCGTTGGCGCATGAATCTTACCCCGAGGGCCTTTTATTGAATTTTCGCCATTGAACCAATTGTGTTATCTTCGCTAACAAAACCGCAATTACGAGCTTTACGTTTTTATGCCCTTAACACAAAATTTCGTAAGTGTCATTTATTTCCCCCATGGGGTTATTAAAAATGTCACATTATAAGCCCAGTCATCATTTTTCCAGGTTTTTTATCCCCACTTGAGGGTATATCTGAGGCATGACGGTAGGCCGGGGTCGCGGGGCCGCGCATGGTTGGGTGCAGGTTCGAGGCGGAAAACCCGAAGGCAACGCGAGGGACATTCGGAAGGCGAGGTCGTCGGACCGAGCCTGGAACTCCTAAAGTTGGGGTTGAAAGCGTATGGAGCGCGTGAGAAAGTTGTTGTTGTTGTTGTTGTTGTTTTTCTGGTCGTAACCAGTTTAAGGGGTATCCACTCCTAGATGAGCACGTGCTAACCCCTACTTGGGGCTGGCAGAACACGCCTGCACGGGGGTGGGTTCGATCCCAGGACCTCATCTATCGGAAGTGCCTCTTTCTACTGACTAGGCCACTTCGGGATGGAGCGCGTAATACAATCCTCTGTAACAGTTTAGTTATCACTACACCTCGAAGTGTTCCATGCGACGGAGGAATGTACCGTAATATAAGGGCGTGTTATATCGCTTCGACCAAACATAAAATCGGACCATTTGGTCGGGGCATGCGAATGCGAACGGTGTAACACGATGGCGAAAAATGCGTGATTTTCCCGTCAAATGACCACAGTAACGATCGATTTGGAAAACGCCCAAACCAAACGACCGTACGTGCGACCAGTTTGGTCGCTAAAACACGCCCCGCCGTGGTAGTCACCCACAGAATAAATTTTGGAGTCACATCCACTTAGCATTATGTGACAGCCCTCTAATTTGTCTCATGGAGACCTATGAGATTGCTACTCATTACCATCTTTCCGCCCTCTTTTCCACACCCTGTTCGAATGCTGAAATCGGATTAGACATTTATATTATAATTACGGGAGTAATTAAGAGAGGGTGCCCCTCAATCTACCACACAACCATGGTGTTACCACTTCCTTCGCATATCGGCCAACACGACCAAATGGTCGGATTTTCTGTTGGGTCGCAGCGATGTGTGACACGCCCTAATTTCTCCAATCCCCCAATACTCACTATAAGTTGCGCCAGGGAGGGTCGACCATAATGCTTGTGTCCTGAACGTTGCCTCTACGCTGGACGGTGTCGCAGCCTTTCTCAAGGCCGTTCAGCGCGACGCGATTTCGCCTTCATCTCTCCCGCGTCGTGCGGCAGCCGGAGGCGATCCAACTGACCCGAGCTGCGCCAGCGGCGCAGCGGCGGCGAGGTGAACGCCCCTGGCACGGGGAGAGCGGCGCGGACGGGAGGGGCTAAGGGTCGCAGGGTGGGTAGTAGTGGCGGACGGCGGGCGCATGGGGAAGTGAGCGCGCGCGCGCATCATGGAAGCCGCGAAACTGGGTGCTCCGCGCCTGCTGCTCGCCGCCGCTGCTCTGGCGGGCGTGCTGGCGGTGCTGCTGCTCACGGGTGAGTGCGCGCATCGCTACCACGTGCCACGAGGGGCACCCTTTCAAACCCCTCAGGAGTTGCCAAGATTCCGCACATGTAGCAACGGGTTGACTCCGAGAATGCGGACAGCACTGGTGAGGCGCACTTGGAGAAGGTCACTGGGTGGCAGGATTGCATCATTGCACAGCCCACTGGTGTGGCAGGCTGTACTGGCTGTGGCAGGCTGTACTGGCTGTGGTGCAGGGTCGAAGGGGACATGGTGCTGCCTCGTCCCACGCTGTGCAGCGTGCGTTACCATCTGCTCTGCTGCTCATGCTGTCCCCTTCCCCGTGCCTCATGCCCTGCCCTGCCGTGCTGTGCTATCCGTTCACTGCATGCAGACTACCCGTCGTCCCCAGCGGCATCGCTGCAGGAGTGGTCTGCGGCGGCAGCCCTGCCCACCTCCCCCTTCTCCCCAACAACCCCCTCTACCCCTGACACGCAAACCCCGCCCTCCTGCCACGCGTGCCCTGCCTGCCCGCCCTACTCGGGCGCGTGGACTGCCTGTGCTGCCCCTGCCCCTCCCCCCGCCCATGCGCATGTGACAAGCGCGCCCGGGCAGGAGGAGGAAGAGGCGAGCAGCGGCGGCGGCAGGGAGGGGCAGCAGTCAGCACGGTACTCAGTGGCGTCGTGCCCGCTGCTGCCAGCGGACATGGACTGCCGTGTGCCCGGCCGCCCTGCCACCATGGCACGCTACGACCACCTGTGCTGGCGCCCCCAAGCGTGCCACCTGCCGCCCTTTGACCCCCTTGACTTCCTGCACCGGTGAGTTCGGATTCCACAAAAGCGTTCCTGCCGTCTGCCACCCGCTGACCCAGTTGCTCTGTTGACTTACTGCAGCGGTGAATGAGCCTCGGCCTTGCATCGACTCACCGGCGGTGAGAGAAGGCGTGTCGCTAACTCCAGCCCGCCCACCAATGCACTCTGCTTAATGACTCACTGTTGCTGCCAATGCTCATCGCTGCTGCCCGTTGCCTCCGCGCACCTTCCTGTCTTCCTGCATTTCCCCCTCTTCCATCCCCGTCTCCCCCCTGTGTGCTGCCAGGTTGCGCAACCGAGTGATCGCGTTCATAGGGGACTCCATGGCGCAGCAGCAGTTCATCTCCCTCATTTGCCTCCTCCTCGGCCCCACAGGCGCTGCCGTTACCACCACCACCGCTCGGAATACCACTGCCAACCCCGACACCACCGCCGCAAGTACTAGCAGCACCACTGTCACCGTCATCAGCAGCAGCAGCAGCGGAGGCGACAGGAGGGAGCGCAGGGCCAGCACACGCATCCTTCACCCCATGTCGGATCAGTACCGGTTGAGCTGGGAGGCAGGGTGGCAGGGGTGGAACGGTGCAGCTTACCGCGTGTTGCGATTCAACGTCACCATCCTGCACAAGTGGAGTACGTCGCTGTGCCACATGGCAGTCAGCGAGTGGTCGAACGCATCGCAGGTGCATGCAGTGCATCTGGACAGGCCGGACGAGTTCCTGCAGGCGTACCTGCCTCAGATAGACCTCCTCGTGCTCAACACCGGCCCGCACTGGTCGCGGTAAGGTCACCACTGCACTTGCTGCCGCCTTGCTGTTCCCTCTCCATCTCCACTCTCTGCACCTGTTTCTTCTCCCTTTGATCTTCTTTGCCGCTTCCTTGCCCTACCATGGCTCTAACTATGCATCTTTTCCTCTCCCTCTTTCTCCACCTCCTCTCTCCCTCAGTTTCTGCTCTGCACCCCTTCTTCTTCCCCTGTGCTCCTCCCACCCTAACTTCCCATCCTTACCTCCCACCCTAACTTCGCATCCCAGGTGGGAGGTCACCGACTATCACTGGCGCTTCCACGTGAGCAGCCAGCCCGTGAGCCCTGAGCAGCAGCGCAATCTGGAGGCCAACCCTCTACTCGGTGCCTACACGGCCCTGCGCACCACCATTGCCTGGATCTTGAACCATGGGCGAAGGGGTGGGGAGGGGGGGGGTGAGGAGGTGGGGAACAGGGATGCGGCGGGAAAGGCTGGGAGTGGTGTGCACAGTGGGGATAAAGGGGCACACCGTGGGGCTGGGAGTGAAGGCGTAGGTGGTGCTGGGAATGGTGTTTCTGGGAACGAATCCAAGGAGGCAGCTGAAGAGGCGGGTGGTATGGAGGGGGTGGGTGGAGCGTGCAGGGGGGGGAGCGGGAGCGGTGCGCCCATGGTGGTGGTGCTGGGGCAGCCGTCAGTGCACACCAACGCCATGCACGCCACCTGCCATACCCTGCCCGTGAGACTAGGGAGGGGTTTGGGTGGATGGGAGGGGTTTGGGTGGATGGGAGGGGTTTGGGTGGATGGGAGGGGTTTGGGTGGATGGGAGGGGTTTGGGTGGATGGGAGGGGTTTGGGTGGATGGGAGGGGTTTGGGTGGATGGGAGGGGTTTGGGTGGATGGGAGGGGCGTGGGTGGTGGATGGGAGGGGCGTGGGTGGTGGATGGGAGGGGTAGGTTTGTGGGCCACACACATAGCCTGTGTCGACTCCTGCTGCTGGGCTGGGTTGGGCTGGCTGCTCGTTCTTGTGAATGTGCTGGATGTTGGAAGAGAGGGGCATTCATGTGTGTAGAGCATGTGATGGCATGTGTGGCTCGTTACAAACAAGCACGGGTGGTGCGTGCGCATTAGCTTGCACTGTGTCAGCCACTCTCTCCGCGTGCATCCATAGCATGTGTTCATCATTGCTAAGCCTTTTTCTCAACCACAACCCACATCCCTCCGTTTTGTCCCACGGCCTTCCCCACCATGCTGCTCCCAGCCATTGCTAACAGCAAAGGAGGTGCAGCAGCTTTCATTCCTGTCCCGAGACTTCACTTCAGAGGCAGCAGTTGCAGACGCCAATGCAGCACACGCAACAGCAATGGATGCCAAAGCAGCAGCATTCGGCAATCCAGCAGCAGATTCAGACCCAATCTCACATGACACGTCCGTTATCATTCCTGATTACCTCCCTCCCCCCGCGTCTCCATGGCCAGCATCCTCCATGCGCCCACGCACCTCTCTGCCTGTGCACCTGCTAGACATCACCGGCCTCACCTCCACACGCCCCGACGCACACAAGTCCAAGTGGCACGGGGGGGACAGCAGCAGTGACGGCGAGCAGGGTGACTGCGTGCACTGGTGCCTGCCGGGCGTGCCAGACACCTGGAACGACCTGCTCTACGCGCACGTCGTGCGCACCGGCTGCTTCCCACGCACCGACCCTAGATGACTGACCTCTGAACAGTTGGATTGGCAGTGGGTGGAACGGCAGGTGGTGGTGCCTGTCCTGTCCTGTCCTTTCTGCTGTGCCCATTGTGAGCTTGTGAAGGTGTTTTGAGTCGTAGGAGTTATGCTCTGAGGAGCACCAGGCCAGGCCACATACACCACGCCGGGGGGACAGCAGCAGTGACGGCGAGCAGGGTGACTGCGTGCACTGGTGCCTGCCGGGCGCCTGGAACGACCTGCTCTACGCGCATGTCGTGCGCACCGGCTGCTTTCCACGCACCGACCGTGGGTAACCGACTCACCGTTAATGGCCAGTGACAACCAGACCAAACCACTGAGCTGTTGGCAGTGGGTGGGTGGAATGGCACGTGATGGTGGTGTTGGAGTTGGCATCATAGTGCTCTCGGGAGCAGCAGGCCGTGCAGCCGTGCAGCCTTGGCAGCATCATATCCAACATGTACACCACGGCAGGGGTTCTTTCAGACATTAGGTACCCGCCCCTCGCTTTATTTACTGTGCAGTATATGCACACAGGCTGATTCTGTAATGGGACTTACATCAATAATATGGTTACAGGCCACCTTACAGAAGCTATTGCCTAGGTATTTCCATCATCCCATCACGACTCCGTCTCCTGTTTCCTGTCGTGGTCTTCTTAAGGACGGATCAAACTTTGTACATGTTCGCAGAAAACCCCATCGAACCATCTGGCTTTTTATTAGACCGCTCTGGATCAAGTCCAAACCTTTTTCAACCCCATTCAAACGTACTCTATTGACCCGCCCTAACTCTCCACTCACGGCCCAATCACATGTGCTAAACAAGTTCCACGGTCTTACAAGCCTCTGCTCATCACTTTAGTGCAACAAGCACATCTCGCAGATCTTTACGTCCAGTGGAAGGGGAAAAGGGGAACAAGGGAGGAAGGGGTGGTATATACAAATGGAGCAGTGCCGTGGCCATGCTGTCTCCTGCCAGGCATGTGCCATGTGTGTCATGTGTCACATCACCTCACAGCTGCCCTCGTGTGAGTGCCAGCACGCCCTGCACATCTATCCGCCGCCTCTTTGCCAGCAGCTCCGCCTTTCTTGCCAAGTCCGCCTTCTTCTCCCCACTGCTGCTTCTGCTGCTGCTCCTGCTGCTGCCGCTGCTCCTGTGCGCCACAGTAGCTTGCTGCTTGCCCTCTAGTTTATGCCGCTTATGTGACGAGCTACCAGCAGCAGCAGGAGCGGCAGAGGGAGCGGCAGAGGGAGCAGCAGAGGGGGAGAAGATGGAAGCACTGCGAATGGCAGCGCGCTTCTCTGCTCGGTTGTGGTCAAAACGGTGTGCAAAGGGCGCTGCTGCAGCTGCTGCACTGTCCGCCTGTGAAGGCGGCAGCAGCCGAATCGCCAGCCCCCTGCTGCGCGCCTCTGCCTCCTCCTCTGCCACCCGCTTCTTGCGCTCCTGACAGCCACAGAATGGGATTGGCAAGACATGGAGCGCGAGGGCGAGGTGTAAGTGATGACTCATGACAGTCAATGTAGGATAGGGAACTGTAGAGGTGTGGGAAACGCCAGATGGCACACGCAGCAATGCTTGACGTACATCCATCCAACCAGATTAAATTTGACTTCACCAACAAACCCCCTGACCCCCACTTCCCTGCCCCCAAAGATCCCCCCTTCAACCCCTTTCCCTACCCCTCCCATCCCACCCCACCCCACTGCACCGCACCCCACCGCTGGGTGCATACCCGGAGCTGGGAGCGTAGCACGCGGTTGAGGCGGAAGGGGTCGGCATGCTTGGTGTCGGCAGCAGCCTTCACGGCCGCTAGAGTGGGTGCCGCTGCTGCTGCCCTCTTGCGGTCACGGCCCCCATGCTCCAACCGCACCAGCGGATCCAACAGCTGCTCCCGCTCTGCCATGGCCAGGCAAGGAGCGGGAGGGTAGGAGAGGGCGAGAGGGGGAGGGAGATACCGGGAGAGAGCACGATAGGGGTAGAGAGGGGGGGATGTGGAGATACAGCGGGAGGTAGGAAGAGGGGGAAAGAGAGGGAGAGAGAGGTAGAGCAATGGAAAGCGAGATGGAGAAAGAGAGAGAGGGCGAGAGGGAGGGAGAGAGGAGAGGGAGGGAGAGAGGGAGAGGGAGGGAGAGAGGGAGAGGGAGGGAGAGAGGGAGAGGAGAGGGAGAGGGAGGGAGAGAGGGAGAGAGGGAGGGAGAGAGGGAGGAGAGGAGGGAGAGAGGGAGAGGGAGGGAGAGAGGGAGGGAGGGAGAGAGGGAGAGGGAGGGAGAGAGGGAGAGGGAGGGAGAGAGGGAGAGGGAGGGAGAGAGGGAGAGGGAGGGAGAGAGGGAGAGGGAGGGAGAGAGGGAGAGGGAGGGAGAGAGGGAGAGGGAGGGAGGGAGGGAGAGAGGGAGAGAGGAGAGGGAGGAGAGAGGGAGGGAGGGAGAGGAGAGAGGGAGAGGGAGGGAGAGAGGGAGAGGAGGGAGAGGAGAGAGGGAGAGAGACGGAGAGAGAGGAAGAGCGAGGGAGAGAGAGAGCGAGAGAGAAGAATGGGGGAGGAGAGAGAGAGACAGAGGGAGAGGGAGGTAGAGAGAGGGAGAGAGAGGGCGAGGGAGGTACAGGGAGGGAGAGAGAGGGAGAGAGAGAGAGAGAGAGAGAGAGAGAGAGAGAGAGGGAGAGAGAGAGAGGAGAGAGAGTGAGGAGAGAGAGAGGGAGAGAGAGGGAGAGAGAGGGAGAGAACGGTACAGGGAGAGGGAGAGAGGGAGAGAGAGGGACGCAGGCAGTATGGGAATGCTGAGGTTGAAAGGGTAGACAGGTCGACAGACAACTTAAACTAAAAAAAAAATGTGGGGCCCGGTATAAAAGGATGGAGGCTACGTGGAATGAAGTGGTGGTGTGGCATGAATGGGCAGTGAGTAGTGGGTAAGCGGCCCCCCTCAACCCCCCAACCCTCTACCACCCAGCCCCCACAGCAACCCCCCACCCCACACCATCCCCAGCCCACCCCACTCCCCCACCCTCCTCTGCCCCCCACCCCACCCCACCCCACCCCACCCCACCCCACCCCACCCCACCCCACCCCACCCCACCCCACCCCACCCCACCCCACCCCACCCCACCCCACCCCACCCCACCCCACCCCACCCCACCCCACCCCACCCCACCCCACCCCACCCCACCCACCCCACGCACCCTCTTTGGAGGGCAGCTCCACGGTGCCGGCATCCTCTGCATCGTACTCCACTGCCTTGCGCTCTGCTCCACTCACCTGCACCGGAAGAGGGGGAGGGGGAGGGGGGGGGGGGGGGGGGGTAAGAAGGAGGGGGTTGGGAAGCGCAAGAGAGAGTGCGTGTTAGCATACGTGTAAGGACGGACGAGACATAGAGAAGGAGAAAGGAGAGACAGAAAAATGGGAGTGGGAAGGAGGGGTCGGCAGAAGGTGGAGCATGGGGGTTGGATGGATGGAGAGAAACTACAAGGAAACCCATTAAGCAGGCAAGGCAAGTACGGAGCACACGAGATAGGAGATGCTTGGAGGCAAGACGGGTGTGGGACGGGAAGGGAAGGGAAGGGAAGGGCTGCGGGAGGTGGGGCAGGGGGGGTTGGATTGGATTGGCATAACAAACCACAAGGAAAGGCATCAAGGAGGTAAGGTAAGGAAAGCACGGAGCACACGAGATAGGTAGGGCAGCATGCATGAGGGCAGAGGGGGCGGGGGCACTGACCACAAGGTAGTCACAGTTCTTGGGGTCGGTGTGGATCTCAATCTCGTGCTGGCAGCACGCTGAGCGCATCTTGAAACTCCATATCTGCACCACAAAGGCAGCACGGGCAGGCAAGGCAACGCACGGCAGGGCGAGGTTGGAAGCTGATGGGCAGGCCGCACCGCAGTGGGATGGGAACGAACATAGTCTGGCTGGCCGGGCGCGCAGCGCAGCTGGTGCAGCGCGCAAGCAAGAGAAAGACCATACGGGAGCATGAGTGAGTGCTGGGTTGGGAGCGAGCGGGAGGAGTGAGGGCGGAAAGGAAGAGCATGGATGGCACCTTGGTGGAGAGGTAGTTGGCGATGTGCTTCTTCTCGGCGTTGAAGCGCACGCCCTTGGCGATCATGGCCTTGCACCCGCCACACCACACGTGGAACGGCATCTCAAACCTGCCCCGCCTCGCCCGCACGTCGTGGTGGTGGCGCCACGGGACAGGGGGTGGGGAGTCAGCGCGAGATGACGGAGAAAAACAAAAGACGAGAAGACAAACAAACAAACGAGCACGAGAGGATGGCAGGCGGCCATGTGGCCAACGGAATGCGGAGAAAGTGAGAGCAGCGCGCACTGAGCAGGGGACAAGGAAGAAGGGGGTTGTTGGAGGGGATTGAAGAAGAGAACCGTAAAGACGAGGTGGCGGCACACAAGGGAGTTGCTGGGGTCGGGAGGTGAGGGGAGGGACGAAGTGAGGTGCGGATGGGTTGGGATGGGTTGAGTTGCGGGTGGGAGGTGCACCTGATGACGAGAATGCCATCTCCCAGCTTCTTGGCTCGTTCCCTCAGCGGGTGCTGTCCCTGAAACTTGTTCAGCGAGCCCTGCCACACCACCGCGCCATGCCACGCCATGCCACGACACATCACGCCACGTCATGCCACAGCAAAGCAAGATGCGCGGGGGCAAGCACACGGAGGGACAGGGTGAGGGTTGCCCGTGCGCGCATGGCGGAGCCGATCGTTACACCGTCTCCTTCCCCGCGCGCGCGCAAGGGAGGGGACGGGGAACAGGGAGGACGAGAGGCGAGAAACGAACGTGACGAGTGGAATGGAGTGGAGGAAGGAACGGGCGGGGAAAGAAGGGGGAACACACGGAAAGTGTAGATATTGGAGATGGATGGAGGGGTACGAAGCGGAAGGTTCGGGGAGCGTGAGTGCATGGTAAGACGCCGAGAATAATTAGAAGACACGGCGGGTGGAACGTGAAAAGGCTCTCAAGTGAAGGAACGCGAGCAATCGCGGGAGCAGCGGCGGGAGCACGGCGCGCGTACCTGCTCCGGCGTCCATTCCGGCGGGTAGTAGAAGTTGTCGGCTCGCGCGGCTGCTAGCGTCGACTGCAGCAGCGAGCGGGGAGGGCAGAAGGGAGAAAAAGGTGAACGGGTTAACGTTGAAAAACCCCTGTGGAAGCCCGCGTAATTTTTAAAACGGAGTCAAGTTGAACCGCGAGGCGAGAGCGCACCATGATGGACGTTGAAAGTGACGACTAATTGACTGCACGCAGGCGTTCTACGGAATGTCTTGCCAACATTAGCTAGGTTATCGTGGGATACCGCCTTGGTAGGTAGAAACAAGAAGGACAGTGAAACCCTAAAAATGTTAGGACGTGTTGCAATTGCCGTTGCACTGCATCGGCTGGGGACCATTCGAAGGCTCCACGCAGGCGGGAAGCCAAATCCGGGCACTGATTCGGCAAAGAAAAAAACTTTCAACTAATAAATCAAAAATTAATTTGCGAAGTGTATTTGGTGAACAATATTTTATTTTTCCGCGTTTCATGATTTTTTTTCGCAATTGCAATACGTCCTAACGAAATTTAACGACGGTATCAGGAAGGCAAGTTTTCCCTTCCTGATTCCGCCTGTTTCGCTTTAAAATCGCTGGCCAACAAACTTGTAATGGCACGTCCCCTCCCTCGATCGATCGAAAGATCGACGTAAAAAACCGATCGTGTACACCGATCGCAGGATTGGGGTGGGATTGGTTGGAGGTGACACTCGCGGATCAATCTCGAGCCCAGGATGACAGGATCGTAAATTCAAGGGGGGGGGGGGGGGGAGACTAACGATCTCACAAAAGCCGATATTGGTGTGCCCACGAAGGCACATCAATTGTCATCAGCGGATATGACAAGATCGATGGTGTAAGGATTTTGCCTAATTCCTTACTCTGTGGGTGTACAATAAACTTTAGGAATTCAGGCTCGGTCCGATGACATCGCCTTCCGAACGTCTCGGTCGCCTTCGGGTTTCCCAACCCCAAACCTGCACCCAACCTTGCGCGTTCCCGCAACCTAGGCCTAGCTAATTTTCGTTATATCTGTCCTAGGCCTCATTCGCAGTTCTTGTAATCACTTTCGCGATATTGTGTTCTGCGCAACTCTTCTTCTTACAACTCATAACACTTCGTATCAGAGCTACTTTTCTAGATTACCCACCAGTTTCCGAGGTAGGTTAGTGGAGGGGCCCGATAGTCTTGGTGGGCTGCAAAGTGGTCGGCTGATAAATAGGTACGATTTTTTCGCTCCGACTGCGGAGATAACTACTACAACGGGAGCTAGACTATGGGCTAGGCACGGGTGCTCGTGTGATCTCTGCGTTCATCCACTTAGTCGTTTACTCGTGCTTGCACTACTTGCTGGTTCACAGGGTCAGTAGGCAATAGTTTCACTAGCAAAAGTTCACAACAATGGTACAATGAACTTGGCAACGCTAGACTACATAAGAGCTAGGATGCTAGCGCAGCACGGTCGACCGCGTGCCAGCACGACTTGGTCGACCGCGCTCCAGCAGTGCAGAGTCGCGGCTTGCCAATGCTGCAAATCGTGTCAGAGGTCCACTGGGGATCCCCGATGATCCTAGGGAAGGGTTACAGGCACGTCGGCCTGGGGGGTTATGGGCGCACTCACCCGCTATATAAACAAGCCCTTTTATCCCAATGGTTAGTGACTGGGATTCTGACAAATCGACGGCGTGCCAACGACGCAGGTTGACGGCGTGCAAACGTCGCTCCCGCAGGACAGCTGCGCACCCGCTTCGCAGGTGCGCGTAGATGATTGGCGTGCAGTGCCTCGTCACCTGCACAGCGCACACACCAAGTCAACTTCGTGCTAACGACTGCTTCTGATCAACCACGTCGACTTCGGAATACCACCACCAAGGTCGGTCTCGCCAAAACCACCTGGGCGACCGTCGCACTCTTCCGCAGAACCTCGTCACCCAGATAACATGGTCGACTGGGCAACCATGTCGACCAGCAGCTCTTGTATGTGCCCGTCGACCTCCCAAGTCGACGGCCACCTCCAGTCGACCTCCCCAGGTCGACCACTACCCCCTGGTCGACCAGCTCTAGGTCGACGTCACTCCTGGTCGACCAGCTCCTCGTCGACCAGCACAGTTGTCAGCCGACCCCAAAGTCGGCTACCCGAAGTCGGCGTCACCAAGTCGACGTGCCAGCTGCTCGGCGTCCTGAATCCCTCTGTCGAGGTCGACGTCGGCCCCTCCTTCGTCGACCACCATGTTCGGTCGACCACCAGGTCGACATCACGCCTGGTCGACCAGCCACCAAGTCGACCAGCAGGCCTGGTCGACCAACCAAGTCGACCAGAAGGCCTGGTCGACCAACCAGGTTGACCTGAAGGCCTGGTCGACCAACCAGGACGACCAAAAGGCCTGATGTGCCTACCAGGTCGACCAGAAGGCCTGGTCGACCAACCAGGTCGACCAGCAGTTCTGTCAGCCGACCACCCAAGTCGGCTGCCCCAAGTTGGCGTCACCAAGTCGACGCCCTCCGCAGGTCGACTTCCCAGGTCGACCTCCCTGAAGTCGGCGCCATCCTGAAGTCGGCGCCCATGCAGTGGCACCCGTGCAGGTCGACTTCCTCGTCGACCAGCTCGCCCACTACTGCAGGTCGGCTGCACCCCTACACTCGACCACGAAGTCGGCTCCGCCCAAGCGAGGACGGGGCCAACACACAACTCCCGTTGACACCGACTAATAGCATTTGCGCCTTCAATGCGGAGATAAATCTAGCAACCGGAGCTTAACTACGGGGAAGGCACGTATGTGAGAGGGATCTCTGCATTCGATCCTTAGCCGTTTGCTCGTATGTTCTCTGCTTGCACTTTCATGGGGCAATTTGGCAAGAGTTTCACTAACAAAGTTGGCAACAATGGTTCAGAATGATAGAAACAACATTGGCAACACAGGCTACATCAGAGCTAGCACAACTGGTAGTCAACCTCCAGCGCAGCACGGTCGACCGCGTTCCAGCACGACTTGGTCGACCGCGCTCCAGCAGTGCAAAGATGCGGCTTGCCAACGTTGCTAGTTTGCGGTGCGCCAACGCTGCAGCAAGTCGGCTGCACAGCGTTGCACCTGCAGAAGAACGGTGCACCTGCTTGACATGTGTGCGCAGCTGGTTGGCGTCCCAAGCCCCATCATGCTCCCAGCGCAGACATTCCGCCCGTGACGGCGCCCACCGGCAATGTCGACCTCGGGATATCACCCCCGAGGTTGGGCTCGCAAAAGCCACCCCCGGCGACCTTCGCACATGTCGCACGGGTATCTCGGTCGGCCAAAGCAATCACGCCTCGTCGACCTCGCCCGCCAGCGTCACCAAGCCGGCGTCCCCCAAAGTCGGCGCCCTCCCCTCGTCGACCACTTCGGGACTCGGCCGCCGACTTCGCCAAGTCGTCGGCCACCCAAGTCGTCGCCCTGAAGTCGGCGTCCTTCTAGGTCTGCCTCGCCAGGTCGGCGCCCTTGCAGTGGCCCCTGTGCAGGTCGACCAGTCTCGTTGACCTGCGCGCCTACTGCCGCAGGTCGGCTGCACACCCCGCGCATCCGACACAACGAGGTCGGCTCCGCCCAAGTGATGACGGGGCTCAAACACAACTCCCGTTGACAATCAAAGCCATAAGAATCGCTGTTAACACCCTGCTCATTAGGACGAGCCTGAGAAACATGAATCAGGCCGAGTTTGACCACTTCATGAAGGACTTTCGAGCGAAGCAAGCCATCATGCAGACTACGTCTAGCGAGCTAGAGCGCCTGGGGGTTGAAAACACTGAACTACGCCAGGCGCGAGGTGAAGAGCTCTAGGAGTTGACCGTTGTGGATGAAGCAAGTCGCAGCTCATCACACAACGACGACATGTTTAACGAGCTAGAAGGCTCGCTGGACGCTGAAGATGAGTGGGCGGCACGGCAACAACAGGCACAGGAAGCGCCGGAGCAACAGCCACAGCAACTGCAACAGGCACGAATGACGTCGAAACAACTGTCGCAAACAACGCCAAGGCAGGCGCCAACAACAAACCCGGCGATAGCTTTGACGGTGCCCAGAGTGCATGCGGCAGAAGCAGTTTTGACAACTGTCAAGATAGAACCAACAAACCTCCTTCCGTTCAATTCCGGTGACAAAACCGTCACAATGTCTGCGTGGTTGTTCGGCGTGGAGGTTCTCTTTAATGCTAAACAAATTGCTGATGATGCCACCCGCATTAATTTTGCAGTGTCACTGTTACGAGGAGCAGCGTCGAGTGGAGGCGCTGCACGCTTCAATCAGAGAGGGCTTTCGGCAAGGATATCACGTGCGAACGACGAGACCTTTCACGCAACGACCAACATCGATCTTCGGAGTGGCCACGATACGCACATGGACGGAGTGGGGCGCAGTCTTACGGGCCAAATTCGAGCATGTATCCGCCTCCGATTCTGCCCGCATGAAGTTGCGTGCCTGGAAGCAGGTGACATCGGTCTAAGACTACACGGCGACGTTCTGCGCATTGGCCGACAAAGTGGACGACATGAGTGACACGGAGCTGCTCAATCGATATGTCGCATGCCTAAGAAACGAGGTGTGATAGAAATGGAGCTCAACTGATTGATTAGTAAAGAAGGCACTAGGCCTTAAGTACAAACGAGGTTGGGTTGGGAAAGGCTAGGGAAAGGATGGGATGGGAATCCTAGCAAATCTCCAATTGGTGAGTTGGCAGATTTGCAGGATTACGAGGGAATCCCAACCAGATAGGGTTGGGATTACAAACTACACCCAACCCACAAATAACCTATACGATATAAAATATAGTACACAAAATGTTGACAGCCTAATTCTAACAAGGTGCAGCTTGAAGTGCGACAACAAGGCCAGGTGACTTCAACGATGACATCCAGCTGGCGAAATCAACGCGCGTTGATGCAGGGCGAAAATGAGTTTCCAGGAGGGAAATCGGTTTTGTGGACCACCTCGCCAGCCGCAATCAGCGGTGTGGATGCGCTGAGACGTGCACCAAACACGTGTATCAACTACAACAAACCGGGCCACTAGTGGAAAGACTGCCTGAAACTAAAACAGGGGAACAGGAACGACGGAGAGGGGAAAGAGAAGAGTTAGTAGCAGTCGGACCACCTACTTACGAGACTACGTCGCCTGGCAATCACCATCCACACCGAGTAGTGGTACCGAT